ACTAGGAGGGCCTTGGTACAGGGTGAGGTGGGGGGACAGTCTCAAGGGCTACGCAGGCTCTCCTCTCTTCCCTCTCCGGGTGTGCCCAGGCCCTCCGAGACCCAAGGCCAAGTCTGCTCTGACCAGGCAACCTGATGGCCGCCAGCTTGAGGCAAAGATCATGGTGAGGATCAAACATTAACTTCAAGTTGGCCTGAGAGCCCAGGGCCCCGCAGGTAGGGCCGTCAGTCTGGATTCTCCTCTGGGTCCGGCTCCCCCCTCCACCCCCCAGCCCAGGCCTACAGCCAGTCCCCCTTCCCCCCGCCCCGCGGGCCCCGAGGGCGCTGTGGCTGCCCCGCACCTGTTCGGCCCCCGCCCGCCGGGGCCCCACCCTGCGGCCAAGTTAAGGGAAAGTTGCAAGTAGAACGGCTCCTGGAGCCCGCAAGCTGTGAGGTTGTGGAATACGCGGTCCCTTGCTGCTCCACCCCAGATCCACTACCGGGGTGAGGGATAGAGGCGGCTCAGCACCCCACATCAGCTCAAGTTCCTTTGCCCCTTCTCGGGCCACCCAGGATTTTGTAATCCACCCCCCTCCCCGCCATTCCCCCTTCTCCCCCGCCCCGCTGTCGCCGCCACTCCCCGGACTTTGCACACGCCTTGAGTCCCCGGACTCCGAGAAAGTCCTTTTCCAGGACTCGGTCTCTTCGCTCGCTTTCCCGGGACCTGCACAAGCCACCCAGGGCCCCTGAACCCCACTTGTCCAGAGGGGCGTGAGCAAAAAGCCTCGTCCGTGGGGCCCGCACGATCCTGCCCCGCGCCCTGGGCCAGGCACACGCCCACCCTGGGGTTCTCAGCTGTCCCCAAGGGGCGCTGCGTCCTGCGCCAGCCGCGCCTCTCTCGGGCCCCGGCGTCCCGCACGCGCCTCCCGGGCGCCCAGCCAGCACGCGCCCCCGGGACTCCCGGCTCGCACGCGCCGCGCCTCCTGGGGGCGGGGGCTGTGGCCCAAACTCTGCAGCCTCACCGTGTTCTTCCTGGCCACCATCTTCTCCAGCTTTCTGGCGATCCTCAGCAGCTCCTCTTCCTGGCCCATGCTGGCGCGCGACGCCCGGCGGGGCGAGGGGCGCCGGGGCTGCAGGAGGCGCGAAGGCCCCAAACCCACACGACACACACGCCTGCGGGGGCGGGGCTCTCCCCCCACACCCCCCTCGGCCCGCCCGCCTTGCAACCGCAGGGGGGAGGGGTGACGTGCACTAAATATAGACTTCAAGGACTCGCCCGGGCAAAGTTTGCCCGTGCCGGCGGGCCTGGCCTCCCGAGAGGGACGAGGCTTCCAGAGAGGGCCCTTCACCTCGGCCCTTCTGCCGAAGGGAGATTTGGCAAGTGGGGAGCCCGTGGTCCCCGCCACAAGAGGCTGTCTCGGTGAGCGGGGCGCCCGAGGGTGCCCCAGCGCTCTGGGAGGAGTCCTGGCTCCCGCGTCTCTGCGCGGTCGCAGCTCCAAGCGGGCGGACCCAGCTCCGTGCCTGCGCCCAAGTGCAGGCGACTTGGAGCGCTCGGATCGTATTTCGTACGCGATCTCCAAATCCAGCTCCGCTCTACCGGTCATTCGTGCACACGGCCTGTGTACACGCGTGTATCCAGGCCCTCTGGTTCCATCTACTTTGTTTGCTGCAGTGTGGCTCTGTGTTTCTAACAAGCTCCCCAGAGTGCCCCAGGCGCGGCTGCCCCTAGGACAGCTCTCGGAATAGTCAGCGTTTGGGAGATTCTTAGGTGCACCAAACTTTGAGAAATACTGAAATACTCAAAGAAAAACTTTGAGAAATCCAGGTGCATGGGCGCCCCTAATTTATTCAGGGTCAGGCCACTGCCTCCCCAGTGGGGTTGGGTCTGGAGGGGTCATCTTGGGTGAAAGGAAGTTCACAGAATTGTGCCCCCACAGCTATGCACACATCTGTGTTCCCGTGGAAGGACCTTCCGAGTGTCCCCAGCAGACCAGGGAAGAGTCCTAAACCAGTGAGCTTAATTAACACAAAATTACCCTTTTGCTGGAGGAGGTGCTTAGGGACCTGGAGGGGAAGCATGAAAAGTGGTCAGTGCTGTGTACAGAGTGGGGCACGGTGGCTCGGAGTGTTCAGTGACATCTCTAGACTTTTTTGAGAGAACTTTAGAGAACCCCATCCCAGCCCGGGTCATGACTCTGGCTTCTAACTGCTGCTGAGTGACCTGGGACCATGGTAGGAAGGGGTGGGTTTATCTTTCATTCAACAAATGCATTTTGAGTGTCCAAGGCTAGTCCCAGCAAGCTTGAGATGCAGTCTGTGGGCAAGAGAAAACCTAAGCAAATTTGGATGCAATCAATTCTGTATTATCACAACTGGGGTGAGGGTCAGGAAGAAGTGAGGATACTTTAAGGACACATTTGAGGGGAACTGCACCGGTGGAGGTGTCATCTGCTCTGAAGAAATGAAGTTTAAACTTTGGGGCAGAAGTGCAGGGTGGGAGTTGGAGGCAGGAAGAAATGAAGAAACATTCATCCATTCAACATATATTTATGGAGCACCTCCTATGTGCCAGGCAGTTCTAGCTCTGGGCCTCTGGAGAGGAACAAAACAGTCCTCCTGGAGTTCTGAATGTGCAAAGCTTAGGGATGGGAGTGTGCTTGGCGTGTCGGGGCCAGAAGAACTGAAATATTGGTGGGGCTGTAGCACAGAGGTTGGCTTGGGGGCAGACAGGGCAGAAAGCCAGAGATGAATGCGGTCTGACCGCGCCAGCATTATGGGCCACTTTTAGGAGGTCAGACTTTATCAGTTTGAGATGTGGCGAGGTCTCTTGGCCAACTCCCGAGCAACCTCTGGGTTGAAGGGACAGCTGTCTGCAGTTATTTAGGACTGCCTTTTTTTTTTTTTTAAGATTTTATTTTCAAGTAATCTCCACACCCAATGTGGGGCTCGAACTTACAACCTCGAGATCAAGAGTCACATACTCTACTGACTGAGCCAGCCAGGCATCCCAGGATTGCCTTTAGAAAAAAAACAAAAACAAAAAACAAAACAAAGAACAGAGTTGATTTTCCTCAAAGTTCCACACAGTTCCCACCCTGAGTTGTATGACATCAACAGAAGCCAAGACGCCTACATCATTGGGGCTCAAAGGACCCTAAGAAAACATCAAGTCCAACCCCTTCATTGCACAGATGGGGAGACTGAGGCTCAGAGAAGTCCAGGGTTGCACTGCTCAACCGTATCAGACACTGTTGGTACCCACGTTATTCCCCGTCTACCCGTCCTCACTTGGGAGATCACAGCAGGCTGTTCCTGGACGCACCTCCAACACCTTCCCACATCTCGGAATGAGGGCTTCAGAGCAGGCTGAGGTGCTTGGGAATTGACACCTCCAGGAAGGACCCCTCAGCCAGTGAGAAACCAGAGTTGGTGGTAAACACACCAATTTTTTCACTTTCAGTGGGACAACTCAGAGACGTGTTCTTTTTTCTTTTTTAAGCAACTTCTATGCCCAACGTGGGGCTTGACCTCATGACCCTGAGATCAAGAGTCGCATGCTCTACCAACTGAGCCAGCCAGGTGCCCCAAAGACATGGTCTAATCAATAGTCCCTCAAAGATCTCTAAGATAAACCCTAGTTCATGGTAGTAGCCCCTCACTAACACACCCCCTATTGCTTTTTGACCCACTGCTCCACTCCCTACTTTCTCATTGTTTCCTGGGATCACCTTAATAAACTACTTGCCCTCAAATCTTTGTCTCAGGGCACCTCAAATTGAGACAAGGCCTGTGGCCGACTTAAACTGCTGGGCTCCCGGCCCGCCTGCCAGCACGCTTCCTCCGCACCCGTGTTTCTGAACCTGGGCACCGTTAACATTCTGGATGGGATGATGCACTGTTGTGGGGGCTGAGCTGTGGACTGGAGGATGGTTACCAGTATCCCTGACCTTTAGCCACTAGATGCCAGTAGCACCTTCCAGTTGGCAACGGTCAAAAAGTTTCTGCATTGCCAAACATCCCCTGGGGCTAAACCAGCCCAGGTTGCAAACCCCTGTTCGTACTGCCCTCTTCCTTAGTAGGTCCAGAGAAAGAATTCCAGGCCCTAGGATTCCCATCCCTTCCCTATTGTTCTTCAGATCCCACAAATGAAACCACTGGAATTTAATCAAAAAAATCTTTTATTAGAGATGAGTGAGATAACAAGTCTGAGATGAACAAAAGCAGACGCTAGAGGCCCAGAAGACAACCCCGTTCCTGTGGGATCCCAGACCAGTCAGGGCTCCAGGGTAAACAGCCCAGCCTCCTGGGCCAGACTGCTTCGTTGGCCATTGGCACCCTCTGGCCTCTCCTGTTTGGCCTGGCCCATCCCTGCCAGGGCCCAGTGCCTGGTGCCCATAAAACTGTGTTAGAAACTGATGATGGCTTAGCTGTACCTGTTTTCTAATATGGGGCTGAAAGTCACGGTGGCACTTCTGGGACTGAGAAGCAGAACCTTTAGTCCCTGCCTTCCGGTTCCTATTATTCTCCTTCCTCCTTTCTTAGCTCTTTTTTCCCCCAAGACTGGAAGGCTCCTGACTGTTCCATTCCTTCCTGCTACATCCAGGAGAGTAGGCAAGTGGGGGTTACTCCTAGTCTACTTCCTGGCTGGGGAATAGAGCAGAGGTCCCCAGGAGGGTTGTGCTGTCCCTCGAAAGGAGTGCTAGTGAGTATTTACTTAACAGCCGGTACAGCATGAGCACTGGCCAACCAGGATGGACATAGACAATGCAGTGTCCCATTGGTGTAAGCCAGCTGATTGCCTGTCTGCCCCTGGGCCCGGGACCATCCCCTGGAGTCTAGCCCTGCCCATTCTCAAGCCCAGCCTTTGGGACCGGCGTCCCAGAAGGGGACCACATCTGCAAGACCCTTGTCTTACTCGTGTGGCATCTGGACATAGAGAGAAACTCAGTAAAGTACTAGACCAATGAATGTCCGAGGAGATAGCCGCTTGGCTGGCAGAATCCCTGGTCTGGATGATGAAGGTGGGCTGGTCCTACTCTTATGGAGCCCCCAGACTGATGGGAGAAACATATTCTGGTCTGATGAGAGACTGAGGGTTCTGCAGCTAAAGCTAGCTCACAAGTATCAGACCCAGCCAGAGGGCTCCCTGGGCGGTGACGGGATAGAGGGGAAGGAACCGCCATCAGCCCTAACATGGAAGGGCCCTGTATCCTTGGAGGGGGCAAAGGCCCACGGTAGGGAGGAAGGCCAGCCACAGAGGTACAAGAGGCAGACAGAGCAAGACCCAAGGGAATGGACATCTCAGTTCCCCAGTCTTGTGGGCTCAAGTCCTAGCTCTGAACATTGGGGTCCAACATGGGGCTAGTTCAGGCATGCAAGGGCCAGCAAGGAGCTAGTCTTGCAAAAGCTGCACAGAGTTTCCAGGAGAACCCCTGCCCTGGAGCCCTCTCCTTCAGTGAAGCCAACCTGGGGAGAGAAGAATGAAAATTGACATGTTCTAAGTACCTGTATTATGTACCAGCTATTTGTCTCCCTCAGTTCCACCACTGTCTTATCGTGGATAGATGAAATTATCCCCATTTAACAGACAATGAAACCAAGGCTTGAAGAAGCAAAGCCACTTTTCATGGTCCTCCACGCCCTACAGCCCGAGTTCTTCTTATCACATACGTCTCAACAACAGGTATCAATTAAATGCTGGCTGACGGGATACCTGGCTGTAGACACAGACTGGGGTCTGGTGCCTGACTCCGATGGACTGAGGATGACGATTCCTCAGAGAGCCCCAGCTCCTGCCCCTGCTGTGTCCCACTCCCAGCACAGACAACCACCGCCCCCCGCTGAGGGATCCCCAGGGGAACAAGGAACAGTGGATTCATGCTCAGCCCAACTCGCTCTGTCCTGTGCCCACTCCCAGGTTCCCCAACTAACTATGGGTAACCGTGAGAGACTTCGTGATTCAGCAGGGAGAAGCCGGATTCAGGGTGACAGCTCTTGTCTTGTCCCTATCACATGCCCCTCTGCCTGGCAGCTGGCAGTCCGAGCGGATTCCAGGAGACTCCTACACAAGGAGACACTTAGGCAAACCAAGGGCTGCTATGCAGCTGCCCTAATCCTGCCTCATCTGCAGGGAAGTGAGCCACCAGCCTGGCTGACACAGGTCTGCTCATCTTCCCCTGTGAGAAGCCACAGCTCAGGCCTCCTCACCTCGGCCATCCCTCAAGACCTGGGCTCTCCCCAGCTTCATGAGTCCTGGTCTGGAGTGGGAAGGGGGTGCACCAGGCCAGGGACTGGCCAAACTGTGGCCAGCCGGCCTCCTATGTACTCCGGTCATGGGCAGAGGTCCCCATGACCCCACCCCACCCACCTACTGTTGACCAACTCTGCCTCCCAGGTGTCCTGCCACCGCCCCTCAAACCACAGTCCCAGAGCTCATACCGGCATGTTCCTTGTGGGCAGAGGCTGTCTGGCTGAGAGACAGTCTTCCAGGCTCCAGCCCACCCCGCCGATAGGAGCGAGTGCTCTCGGAGCTGGAAGGGAGGGAAAGGCCAAGGTGACCTCATGCCAAGATCCTCTTAGAGTGGGGGAGAAAGAGCTCAGGTATAGGCTGGGGCCTAAGACAGGTGGGGAGAGAGTCCTCCAGGGCCCCCGGCTGGGTCCATCACAGGCTGCAGAGGCCTGGAACTGGAGCTTTTCTGTGTCTCCTCCCCCGGACTCCAAACTGAAAGGGTTGTTTGCCGGGAAGGAAGGACTGGATCGTGGGTTGGAGATGGGACACAGCAGAGATCCCACTAGAACCTCTAGAAGAAGCCACGCGGGTGGGACTCAGCCTTCTCTACTCCATCTGCAGCAGTCTGGGTCCCAGGCTCCTTCCCAGCTCTCCAGGCCAGACTTGGGGGCAGGTGTGTGAAGGGCGAAGGGTCTACTCACCCTCTACTCAAGGGCTAGCATATCTCGTTAGTCATGGGCCTCAGAGCTGGGAGGCGTCCCAGTCTTTAGGCAGGCACCATTTCCAGGTGGGGAAATAAATGATGTGCAGAGGGGTCAGGAAACTTGCTCAGCTGCACAGCTGGGCTCTTACCTGAACCTGACCGGGGGATACATCTCTGCAGGGGTGGCTCCAGATGTCAGGCTGGATCGGGAGGGGCCCTCCTCAGAGCTGGATGGGGTTTGGCTGGAACTCACAGCTTCCACAGGGCTTGTGAGGCTGGAAGGCGTAGAGGCTGGACTGCCCAGGCTCTCAGGGGCCCCGGAGGGCTCTGAGCTCAGGCTGGGGACTTCAGAACGATCTGGAATCAGAAGTGATAAAACCTGTCTTTATCTCTTACTCTGTTCTCAATTTCAAAGCAATCCTTGGCCTCTAGGGCCTATCACGGCTGCCCCCACTCCCCACGCCACCCACCTGTCCAGTGTTCCCCTCCAGCTTCTCCCCACCAGGCTTGGGTCTCACTGGCTATGACAGCTAGCCCACGCTGACGCGCTGTGTTGCTTCTGCTCCCCTCGCTCCTCAGTGTGGACTCCTCTGCTCATCCCTCGGGCTCAGCTCAGATGCTACCCCGACAGGACGCCTTCCTCAACCACCCCTCAGTCCCAACAGGACATGTTCCCCCTGAGCTCCCAGAACAAGCTTCTTCATTCATTCAACAAACAATTCTTGAGACCAGCCAGGTGCTGAAATACTAGTCAACAGAACACTCGAATCCCTGTCCTTTTGAGATTTACATTCTTTGTTAGGGGGGCGGGGTGGGAATTTACATTCTATACCATTGTGTCTAATATTGTAATGAATTGCATTCCGGCTTTTATTTCCCCCACTAGGCCATGTCTCGGTAACCCCCCCAAATACTGGAGACACAGCGGATGGTCAATAAATGCTTCTCTCTCTTTTTATTTAAGTAAAGCATTGAGGAATTTGGAATAAGACAGACCTGGGTTTGGATCCCACATTGGGGACTTAATTAGCTGTGGGATCTCGGACACGTTCCTTGACATCTCTGTTCCTTTACCTGTAAGGGGAAGATGATAACCTCTACCTGGTAAGCGATTTGCGAGGGCAGGAGGGCGGCGTGGACTAACCCAGGCAGCCTTAGCTCAGTGCGCCGGCACACAGTAGACCCTCCATGAATGGTACGATGAGCATTTTTCTGCGCAGCCAGCCATACCTCCACTGGCATGTCCTGCACGCCCTTGGACCGCCGTCCGGGAAGGGTTTTTGACCGGCAAGGGTGGGGGGCAGGCGTCACTCTGGCTCTGAGGGGCAGCTGATCCCAGGCTGGTGATGCTCTCATAGGTTTTGTTGCTGAGGTCGACCCTCCCACTGGCCCAGCGGGCCTGGGCTGTGGGCTTCAGCGGGGAGCGCTGCAGGGGCAAAAGTATGGGAGAAAAAGGACAGTTGGGTTCCTCCAGTCAGCCCTGCCCCTGCCCTCACCAGGGCCAATCGGGCTCCTTCCATCTGCCGTCTAACAAAGGCCCGAGAGAGGGGGCAGGGACCTACCTTCTCTTCCTCGTCCTCCTCACTGTCCGAGCCAGGCTCAGTGGCGATTCCCCAGTTGTAGTCCACGTGCAGAGGGAAGGCGAGGGTCCCAGCCTGGGCCTGCTCCAGCTGCCAATAACAAAGCCCTGGCAGTTCAGAGGGTCAGGGGCTCAGCAGAGAGAGGGAAAGGGTCAGGGGCTTCCCCTCCTTTCCTAGACCTCACCAGCTCCTCACACTCCTTGTGCTGCTTCTTCCTGGCTATGTCCAGAGCTGTCTCTCCTGCCTCGTTCACTGTGAGGGGTAAAGTCAAGGGTCATGGTCAAGGTCAAAAGGCATTATAGCTTAGAGGTTACAGTGGGCCTCTGGAATCAGACTGTGTTTGAATCTTGGCTCTGCTACTTTCTGGCTGTGTGAGCTTGGGCAAGTTACTTAGCCTCTCTGGGCCTTGATTTTCTTACCTACAAAATGAGTATAATACTTGTAACTTCCTGATGAGGTTGTCGTGAGGACTAAAGGAGTTCCTATGCCAGTAAATAGTAACTATCATAATCACTACCATTCAAGTTCAGCTAGGATTTATTCGGCTAGGTACTTTCAGAAACATCCTTTTATCTTCTTCGCAGGTCTGCTAGGTCAGTGGTGTTATACCCATTTTACACACAAGGAAGCTGAGGTTCAAGAGATGAATGGACAAATCCCAAGGTCACAGAGGTGCTCAGAGGCGAGCCAGGATTAGAACCCAGGTGTGTCTGCGAAGCCCGTGCTTGTTACCAGCGCTCTCGGTCTGGGAAGAAGGCAGGAAGCTCCACACGAGGGGTAGTAAGGAAGGGAAGTCTGCTGGGGGAGGAGTTGGGAGCCCCACCTGCGCCAACCGAAGCTCTCCCTTTCAGCAGCAGCCTGAGGCAGTCAGGTTGGTTGTAGAGAGCAGCACAATGTGGCGCGCTCTTCCCGTCAGCAGCCTTGGCATCCAGGTGACCTCTGGGGGTAGGAGGCCAGGGAGGAAGAAAGGGGAACAGGGGGAGGGGCCAAAGTCAGGGAGAACAAGAGGGAGGAGGGAAGGCTTGTGGAGAAGAGAAAGGAACGGGGCGGGGGTGGAGGAAGATGAGGAGGTGGGCAGACGGGCAGGCAGGGTCTCACCCGTTCTGGATGATGAAGTCCACCAGGGGCAAGGAGGCGGGGCTGGCGACTCGGATCGCCAAGTGCAGGGCGAGCTCTCCAGATGCCTGGGTACACATCCACACCTGAGTTTCCCCCAGTTCGCCTGCCCCCAACCCAATGTCATCCTCTTGAACTTTTTTTTTTTTTTTGCAACACCCTCTTGAACTCTTGCTGCCCCGACACCTCCAGATATAAAGCTGCCAGAACCCTGAGAGAGGAGACTGCAGGGAGGGAGCCTCATGTTTGGGAAGAGGGCAAGAGACCATTCCTTCATGCTTCCTTCCGTGGCTCTGCCTCCAGTAACATGTGCTTCCCAAACTTGGTTCTTAGCCCCGGCTTTCTCTCACTGGCCCCCCAGAGAGCCCAGCTAAACCTCAGACTTTCAGCTCTTACTCATGCGCAGGCTGTTCCGAATTCTTACCTCACCTAAGGGCTGCACCCTCACTGCCCACTGGACAGCCCCACCAAGATACCAGACAGTTCAAAGACATGACATCCATTTTTCATGTACAGTCAGCAACTCCTGTCCATTTAACCTTTCAAACGTCTCTGATACCCTTCCCCTCCCAACCCCCTGGCTCATGTGATGTTTGCTACTAGAATCACCAATGCAATAGCCTTCCCTGATGTAATCTGACTCACCCTTAGCCATGTCCAAAGCTAGCCAAGGAAAAAAAAGACACTAACATTTAGGCACACATGTTATATGCTTGGCCCTTTATACACAGGACTTCATCCTCACTTCAACCCTCGGGTGCTATCATCCACTCATTTCCCAGACGAGAAATGGAGACTCAGAAAAGTTAAGTCACCTGCTCTGGATCACACAGCTAGGAAAAGACAGAGCAAGGACTCTGGCCCAGGTCTGCCTGATGGAATGCTCCATCCCATTTACCCCTCGGGGTTTGAGCAGATGTCAGAGTGGGGGCAGAGGGGAGTGACAGCTGGTCCTGGAGAAGGACTGGGGAGTATGACAGAGCGGGTGGGGTATAAGTGGCCCTTGGAGGTGGTCCTCACCTGCCCCTCAGGCCCAGGCAGCAGCTGTCCAAAGTCCTGCCCGTTAGCGAAGGCCTCCAGGACCGACAGGAGGTCCCGGTTGCAAATGGCCATCCGGAGTTTCTGAGGCTCGGGTGTGGACCGGCGGGCAAACCTGTGTTCCACATACTTGGCCACGATGTAGTCCCTGCGCGTGCTCCTGCCGAGGTCAACCAGTCTCAGGGCATGGGCCGTTTCCACCCCGCTGACCCCTGGAACCATCCCACAGGAGCTACGGATCTCCTTTCCCCCGAACCATGTCCTGGACTCTTCCAGATCTGCGGCTCCCTTCTCCCTAGGCTTCTGGTCCAAGATCCTCCTGAGACTATGGGAGCTGGGGAAGCAGAATCCCCAGCCAGGACGCACCTCCCAACTCCCATCTGAGAATCCCCTTACATGTCACTCTCAGCTGAGGGTTTAGGGCCGCCATGTGAGGGCAGCTGAGCCTCCATGACCTCATTGAAGCGCGTGTTTCCGATGTTCAAGGCTAGCTGAGGTCGCAGCAAAGCGATGGGGGTAAGACCAGTGGTTAGGACAGCGCCCCCTGGGGGACCGAGCCTCCAGAGGCCCGGCCCCGACCCTCCCCTTTCCGGATCTTCAGGATCCTTCCCCACCCCGCCCCACCCCACCCGATGCCACAACCCTTGGGCCGAGGAGGCCGGTGCAAGCCCCGCCCCTGACGAAACCACGCCCCAACCCCACCTCTGGCCCCGCCTCGCCCTCACCAACAGCTCGGAGGGGCCCAGCAGGTCCAAGGTGAGGGACTGCATGCGCGAGAAGCGCACGCCCAGCTCGCGGTGGACGCCGGAGCACTGGATGCAGGTGAGCACGCCCAGGTTGGTGCTGAGCCACGTGGGGTCTACAAGGGAGAGTGGCTCGTACCTGGAAGTGTGGGCCCATCCCCTCCACTGCCACCTCACCCCTCCCCTCCCCGCCCCGCCAGCCCACCTGCAGCCCCGCAGTCGCAGCACTGGCCGTTCCCGGGCCTGCTCTTCACCTCGGCGATGAGCAGCTTCGTGAGATCCTGGGGCTCTGCGTCCAGCCCGGCACCCCCCCAGGGTCCTGGGCCACCGCCACCGCCGGGCTCGGCGAGGAAGGCACTGCTCAAGGCCTCATCCTTGCTGTTCTGTAGCACTGACACCCACCTATGGAGAGGGTGCAGGGTGGCATGGGAGTGATACCCGCGGGGTGGTGGGGTCCCCCGAGGCTGGGAGGTAGATAAGGCTCCCCTGACCCCACCCCCAGGCTGGCCGTCGGGCGTCACTCACGCCTCACACTCATGTTCATCCTCTGCCTGGAAGTGGTATGTCCTGTTGTCTGTGGGGAGAAGGGGGTATGTCTGGCTCACAGAAACCCAAGGAGCCCTCACCCAACCCACGGGGTCCAGGTGGAGCTTTGTCCCTGTGGAGCCAGGCTCTGCCTAGCTTGCAGTGGGGATGGTAATGGCCAGCAGGGTAGTGGCTGGTAGCGGGCAGTTTCTCAGAAGTCACCTCCAAAGGAGGATCCCAGCAAGGCCCCTCTGTTCCAGGGTCTGGGGAGGTCTCCCAGAGCACAGGACCCCCCCCCCAAGTCAGAGGCAGAGTATCCTCCGAACCTACTGCCACCACCCAACGTGGGCCCTCAGCCTCCTGTCCGGTCTCCCTGCTCCCCAACTCCCCCCCCCCTCCCCGTACCAGCTGCCAGATTGTTGTGCCCAAGGTTCTGATCTAATCACGCCACCCTCCCTCTAGGACCCTCTGTGGCTCCCTACTGCCAGTAAATAAGGTCCAAAACTTTAAGAGGCATTTCCAGGCCTCATCTCCCACCACTCTCCCCTGCGAGCTCTGTACTCTGGTCAGCCTGGTCAGACCCACTCTCCTGCTTCCATGCCTTTCATCTTGCCAGTCCTGTCTCCTGGAACATCCTCCCCCAAACTCTGCGTTCTCTGTCCTTCAAGGCTACACTCAAATGCTGTCTCCTCCAAGCAGCCTTTCCGGATTCCCCACAGCAGGGGAGGCCTTTCCCTCCCTTATCTCTGACAGTCCTATATCTGTACCTCTCTCCTGGGTACTCCCATCATCTTACTGGGTCCCCACATCACATCCCTGCCGGAGAGAGCTCCCTGAGGATGAGATCTAGGTCTTTCTCAGCCTGCACCGGCCCCCATGTAAAACCTGGCACCAAAGCCTCCAAAAGACGAAGAGTAAGAGTAAAAATTTTAAAGAAATAATAATTTCAGGGCGCCTGGGTGGCTCAGTTGGTTAAGCGACTGCCTTCCGCTCAGGTCATGATCCTGGAGTCCCGGGATCAAGTCCCACATCGGGCTCCCTGCTCGGCGGGGAGTCAGCTTCTTCCTCTGACCCTCCCCCCTCTTGTGCTCTCTCTCTCAAATAAATAAATTAATTTAAAAAAAATCTTAAAAATATAATTTCAAAAGCCGAATTACCCAAATCCATTCAAATATACTTTACAGAAATAATGATATTTACTGTGGGATGGGAGTGCATTTTAATATTTAATAGGATGTGGATTGAAGCCTCTAAAAAGAGTGTCCAGGGCCTCAGATGTCTGCTGCCTGCAGGGACAGCTGTTTGATTAAACACATGGGGGACTGGACGCAGGCCCCTAACTGAAGCCTCCCGGGAGCTGACAGGTCTCTTAGAGAAGCCCTGGGCAGTTGTCAGAGAGGAGACAGGGACTACTCACGGGTCACCAGGTCAAAGCACTTTTTCTCCTCAGGGTTTGGCCTCACTTGGCACGTTAGCAGGGTCAGCTTCACTGGGGGCCGGTTTATCTGTGGGAATTTGGGGAGAAAGGACACACATTCCCCTCCGGGTCTCCCAAACTCTCAGGCTTCCATTTTCCCAGTCCGTTAAATGGGCATAATAGTCCCGTTCCGGTTCATGTCTCCCCTCTCCCAGTGCCTCATCGATGTGGAGTGCGGGCCAAGATTAGGTCGGGAGCTTTGAGTCCCAGCCTTCTTCCCACAGGGGGTCTCCAGCAACTTGGATCCAGGTTTGGGGGCCAGGGCTGGAGGGAGGGTTTGACACTTGTTTGTTCAGAAGTGAAGAGAGGACCTATCGATTGCGCCCTGAGACCCCCCCACCCCCACCCCTCCAGGCCTCACCGTGCTGTGGGAGATGGTCAGGCAGCCATACTTGACTCCACACTTCCTTTTCTGCCAGACTCTTCGAATTCTAGAGCCCAGAGGGATAGAGAGACACTGACCCAAGGCTCACACCTAATTCCCCTGTATCAGAAAACAGAGTCCTGGACCAGATCCCTGGCCCCACCCGTATGACCTCCAGGCACACCTCTTCACCTCTCCCATCCCCTGACCCCTACACCCCTCACTTTCTGGGGCTCCTTTCTGATGATGGAGACATAGCCTGCCCTGAGGTACCTCCCAGTCTGATGGGGGAAACATAGCCCCCACTCTCTGGGAATCCTTATTCTGAAGGGGATCACGTGACCCTGGCCCTCTGAGAGCTTCTCGTCTGATAAAGGAGACACAGCTCCCAACCTTAGGGAACTCCTAGACTGGAAGGAGGATCAGGCTCTTGATCACAACAGATGCATTATGATTAGGGATAAAGCAAGATAAATATTTAGACCCCAAAAATAAAATTAGCAAATCCACGATCCAAAGCTACTTAACACTTCTGTAAGAGGTAAATATTAATTAGTATAACAAAGTTATTCTTCTCTGATAAAAACTGATTAGTAAGTAGAAACGTGAACACATCCCATGGAGCCTTTGCATTTCACACACTGATTTTTTTTACACCAGGGAGCAAGGCACAGTCAACACTTTCATTTCCAGGCATATTCAGTATATTATAGAAGTTAAAGGTAAGGGCGTGGGCATGGTCTAGGGCATCGTAAGTGCTCAGTAAGTGCTAGCAGCTGCTTTTATTCTTTTTCAAGTTAGGAACAACCAGTGACTTCCCACGTGCCTAGGATTCTGATGATTTTGCTTTGCTAGGGTGGAGGTCCTGGAACCCTCAGAGTCTACCTAAATGATGAGAACGGTCCCATTGGGCAGCTCCCCCAGCTGTCATTTCCTGGCCGTGTGGCTTTGGACAAGTTACTCAAGCTCTCTGAGTCACTTACCCATCACTCTTCTTGTAGAGAAAGCCCACCTTCTCTGTCCCAAACTGCTTGTTGCCTTGGTGCTGATGGATGCTGTAGCCACCTCCGCCTCCTGAGTTCTTCCGGCTCAGATTCTCCTGTTCCTCCGACATGCAAAGGAGACCTTAGGGCATCTGGGTGGGCAGGGCCTCATTCTGCAGGGGTCTCTCTCAGGGACACTTCTCAAGGGACCCTTGAAGTGGGGTCTTCCTCCTCTCCCTCCCTCCACGGTGGGCCTTGGGAGAAGGCGTTCCTTCGGGGATGATTCAGGGGCTGACCTCTCTGCTCTCGAGCTGCAGCGTCCCTCGGAGGGAGTCCCGGAGCCGGGTCAGCTTCTGGAGCTCCTCCTCCTGGGCTTGACGCAGCTGTGGAACAGAGGGCCAGACCCCCCCGTCAGCCAGCAGATGGGGCAGGTGCACAGGCCAGAGCAAGACGAGCAGAAGCCCGGAAAGACAGGGGCTTGACAGTGTGCCCAAGGCTGAGGCCCAACTTACCGCATGTACAGAGGCTGCCAGCTTCTCGATGAAGGGGGACAGGCTCTGAGCAGCCTTCCAGCCATCTTGGAAAAAGCTAAGGGGTATCAGGCCAAACAAGGGATGAGAAAGATGAGAAAGAAAGAAGCAGGAAGTGTGGGAGAAGGTGCTCCAAGGATCACAGGGCAGCTGGGGGCAGTATTCTCTGTCAGGCAGGAGCCGGCTCTCTGGAGCCAAAGTTGTCTGGGTCCAGATCCCACTTACTAGCTGGGTGATGTTAGTAAATCTGAGCCTCAGTTTTCTGAGGAGAAAATGGGTTGCTGGGGATTGAGCAGGAGCCGATGTGTAAAGTACTTAGCGCTGATACCTGGTGGGCACCCACCAAAGAGGAGCCGTGGAAAGCACTACCAACAAGGCAGACACAGAGTCCTCGAGGGCCTGCCTGCTAGACCCTGGGGGCAGGCCTTGTTTGGTGTAGCCTGAAGGGTTAAGGGGCAGGGGTCATGGGGTGGGGGCGGGGACAGGGGCGAAACCTACTTGTGCTGCGCATGGAAGAACTTGATGAGGCTCTGCAGGAAATCAGGACCCTGCTTCATCTGGCTCTCCCCGGCTCTCAGCAGATACTGGGGAAGGAGCAGGGCCAGGCATGCAGTGTGAGCAGAACCTGAATCCTGGGGGCAAGGGGCTGCCGTCCCCATCCCGGGCTAATCTTCTTGGCCATCACTGAACTTCAGTGATATCCCTCTTGGCCAGAACCTGTGACTGGGCCCCCCTGGGGGTTCAGGAGACGAAGACAGGAAGACACGTCCCACCCCACCCTCACCCCGGCAGCACCCTTACCTCACACATGTGCAGCTGGAAGACGCGCCGCTCTCTCTGGGTGTCCTGGGCCACCTCCCCGGGGCTCCCTCCTGTCACCCTGGCCCGGTCTCTCTCCTTCTCCAGCCTGGCCCTAGGCCCCAAGGAAAGAGAGTCCTGAGCGACTCTCGCTAGAGCCCCTTTCACAACCCACCGCCTCTCCATGCTCCTCTCTGCCACAAGCACACGAGAGAGGGGCCTCCTGTGTGGCAGGGCTGGGGTACAACAGTGAACAAGGTGGATTCGGGAATCCACAGGCCGGTGGGGGACAACGACGTGGATCATATCACAGCCACGAAGAGAGCCATGGAAGGCTAAAAGGGGGATCCGACCTCGTCGGGCTGCTCAGGAAGTGCTGTTCGAGGTGAGATCTGAAGTCTGAGAAGCTGCCTGGAGGCAGCTAGGAGCATCAGACCACGTGACTGCTGGAGGCAGGAGGCACCGGGGGCTCAGGAGTGCAGGTGGAGAGGAAGTGGTTTCCAGTGAGCTGCAGAGGGACCAGATCACGCAGGGCCTAATTCAGATCATGTCAGCGTTCCCAAGAGCAATGGGAAGGAGTGGAAGGTTTTTATGCAGGGAAGTGGTGGGCTTAGATTAGGGCCAGGTGAGGTTTGGGGTGACCAGTACGATTTTGCTGGAAGGGATTTAGGACCTCGTGGCTTAAAGGATCACAAAGTGCCTTCATACTTCTGAGCCCACAGAGCTTCCCACTTAAAGCTTAGAAAACCCTTGTTCTTTTCTTTGTAAGTGAGCACAGTGCCTCCCATGCTTGCAGCTAAGTGTAACCTGGGCCTTGCCTCCACAGATCTCAAGGGTTGGCTCTTTTCCCTCTTTGGGAATGGGTGGATCTGTGTGCAAATGATTTCCTGGAAATCCCACACCCAGCAGACCACCCACTCTCAGCCGGAGAGTGTTTCCACATCTGGGGCTGGGCACATGTAACCACAGCTCCTCTGTCAAGGAGATGTCTTGCTTATCAGTTTTGCTTTCAAGTAGGTGCCAGACCTGAGCAAAGAAGACAGCTGTGAGATACGTTACAAGCATCACTTCCCCTCTCCAAGCCTCTGTCTCCTCGTCTGCAAGATGGGGATCCTTATCTGTACCCAGATGATAGAGGATGGAAAACTTAGCACACAGAAGACCCTACAGCTGTTATTATCACAGGCCCCCTAGGCCTTAGTTTTTCCATTTGCAAACTGGGGAAGCAATGGCCTAGGCAGAGTTCATTCTGGCTTTAAAGTTCCAGGCCTCACTGAGGTCAGGCCTCCAGGACAGTGTTTATATGCAGAATCTGTCCCTGGAGACCCACAGAGCAGCTTCTCAACCATGGAACTACAGATACTTTGTCCAGATGATTCTTTGATGTGGGGGCTGTTCTGTGGATGTGGGATGTTTAGCAGCATCCCCAGCCTCAACCCACGAGGTGCCTGTAGCTTCTCCCAGTTGCGACAGCCAGAAATGTCTCCTGGGGGTGACGGTGGGGGTGCACAATCACCCCTGACTGACAACCACTGCTCTAGAGTGCAGTTCTGTAGGTGTTCTAGAAAAATTTCTTAGGAGTGGCTCTTTTACATTTCCCTAAGGCTTTACGATATCCTGAGAGGGAGTCTGTAGCAGGGCAGTGGAGTAAGGGTGGGGACTGTCCCTATGACCCGGGCCTGGGTCATGACAGATGCTTTTTGGGGGATCTGAAGATGAGCAGCAGCAGAGAGAGGTGATGGCTGGGCTGGTAGGGTGTCAGCAGTGAGCCTGGCAGCTTGCTAAGGAGGGCAGGAGACAGAGCGGGCAGAGGGGCTAGGCGGGGGGGGCAGGGGAATCTCCCATAGACCTCGCTACCACATCTTTCAATAGTGAAAAATGAAAAATAAGTTAAATGTCTATCAGTAGGAAGTAGTTAAATAAATTATGCTGCGGCTAACTATGGGAATACTATGCAACTGTTACAAAGGATGAGGAAGCACTATATGTACTAACATTGAGAGACATCTGCTCCAGAGTAAATGGACAAAAAGGAAGCACAATAGGGTACAGTGGCTAGAAACGCATAGTCTGGATTTGAATGGCAGCTCTCTCACTTAACCTTTATAAATCTTTCTAAGCTTCAGTTCCTCCATTTCAAAACTGAGACAAATACCGTCTTGTTCTCAGATGGTATAATGCATGGTACAGTCCCTGGCATATGGTAAGCCCTCAATAAATACCAGGATTATGATGATGCTAATGATATTGATGGTTATGGTAATAACCACTGGTGATTCCTTTATTTAGATTCTATTTATTCATTTGAGAGAGAGAGCAAGCAAGCACAAGCAGGGGGGAGCAGCCGAGGAAGAGGGAGAAGCAGGCTCCCCACTAAGCAGGGAGCCCAACTCAGGGCTCGATCCCAGCACCCTGGGATCATGACCCAAGCCGAAGGCAGACGCTCAACTGACTGAGCCACCCAGGCGCCCTGGATAATTTTTTTTTTTTTAGCATAGGGTGCTTCCTTATTTATTTATTTAATTTTGGGGGGTGTGTGTGCAGGCTCTAGTGGAGATTAAAGGACAGAAGCCAGTTAGCTCAGGATGAAGACAAGCTGTAAAGTACTATAGATGGCTTCGTGGATTACCATAGCTTTGTCCCTCAGTCTCAGCTGAGGTAACCTACAGAGATTTACCCCACCAAGGCTGACCTAGTCATCTGAGATGACCTCAAACTACTAGCTGGGGAGTGCTTTTTATTCTCTCACACCCTGGCCAGAAAAGAGCAAAACTCCTATTCCTTCAATGTCCTCAAAGTTTCACCAGTGGTTAATAAACATTTCAACTTTGGAAATATTTTATTTCCTTTGAATGGAGTTGCCAGAAGAGGAGTAAAATGAATAGGGAGTGAGAAGCAGGGAAATGCTAGTTACTGAGGAGACTGAGAGAAACGGAGAAGGGGACTTTGGGGACAGTCTAGTATTCAGACAGGGACTGAGGGGGTCAGTGAGGAGAACGGTGGGAGAGGAAAGGAATCAAAACTGATCATGCACCTGCCAAACTGACACCTTGAACAGCTTCTCCTGTGATGCCTCCTCCCACCGTCCTCCCCTCCACCCAAACAAAACCACCTGTCTCTCCTGCCACCCCGGGGCTCATACTGTCCCTGTGGCACCATCACTTTGTATTTTCGTCACTTATCGACCCACCTCTCTTCTCGCTTACAAATCAGTGGGATCCACTAAGGCAGGGATTGTGGTGGTGTTTTTTCCCCTTACTTCTTTTTTTTTTTTTTAAAGATTTTATTTATTTATTTGAGAGAGAGAGAATGAGAGATAGAGAGCACAAGAGGGAAGAGGGTCAGAGGGAGAAGCAGACTCCCTGCTGAGCAGGGAGCCCGATGCGGGACTCGATCCCAGGACTCCAGGATCATGACCTGAGCCGAAGGCAGTCGCTTAACCAACTGAGACACCCAGGCGCCCCCCCCTTACTTCTTACCTATAAGTTGGGGATAATAACAGCCCCTTTCCCTGCCAAGGGGAGTCAATCTGATAATAGATCTAAAGAGCTTATCACAGTTCCTTGGACAGAGGAAGCTTTTAAGTAAGTATAAGTATCAGCTGCTATTATTACTAATTATTATTTTTAAGCACTAATATTATGCCGGGTGCTCCGCTAGACCCTTCACATACTAAAGTGAAAACCCCGTGGGGCAGGAATCATTACCCCATTTTACAGTTGAGGAGCCTGAGGCTGAGACAAGTCACAAATCACTCGGCTGTTAAGTGCTAGAGCTAGGATTTGAATCCAGGTCCGTCTGACGCTAGAGCCTTGGGGACAGCACTGGTAACCAACACAGTGCCTCAGATTTGCTCCATCCCTCCTGCCCTGCCTGGTCCCCCCAGCTCGTGACAGGCACAGTGTCTTTTTTTTTTCAAAATGTATTTATTTAATTTTTAAATTTTAATTCCAGCATAGTTAACATATGGTGTTCTATTAGTTTCAGGTGTACAGTATAGTGATTCGACAATTCTATACATCGCTCAGTGCTTGTCACAGTAAGTGATTTATTTATTTGGGGGGGCAGAGGGAGAGGGACCGAGAATCTCAAGCAGACCCCTGGCTGAGTGTGGAGCCCCATGCAGGGCTCCATCCCACGACCCTGAGATCATGACGGAGCCGAAACCAAGAGCCGGTCGCTTAACCGACTGAGCCACCCAGCTGCCCTGTAGGTGTACTTAATCCCCAGCACTATTTCACCCATCCCCCTGGGGTGTCTTTTCTGACAGGTCACAGTCAGGGATCGTTTTACACAAGATGAAGCCGAGCCCCAGAGAAGGGACGTGACTGTCCCAGATCCTGAGCTGGTCAGGGGGAATGCTAGGAGCCAAGGCCTGGGCTCCCGCCTCTTGGCCCCTTGCTGTGCTATTCTGGTCTCGGTTCTGGCTCAGAAAGATGGCCAATAAAGACTTGGTGAACTGCAGTGCTAGACGCTTTATAGGCACTGTGCTTCCTGCATTTCCACGTCAACCCTGCGAGGTATCGGCCGGCCCCATGTTTCAGATGAGGAAACAGACCTGCATATGGAACAGCCTAGAAAAACCAGGCCCCTGCAGACAGATGCTATTTGGGGCCCTTCCAGCTGCTGCCCACACTGGTGTGGGAAGAAGGAGGTGGAAATGCATAGTAGCTCAGGGCTCACCCATATCTAGCTATACCTGAAGCCCTCACCAAAAGGCACGTACCACAGACAGCTGTGCCAGGACATGTAGCTCAGCCTGTGTGACGCGCACAGCAGGGGCCAGGAGTCCATGGAGCACGGACTCGGAGAGAGAGCACCGGACTCAGAAGCCCTGGGTTCTAGTCCAGACCCTGTTGATAACTCACTGGAGAACCTTCACCGAGCCCCTCTCCCCATCAATTACAGAGTCTTTTCTTGTAACAAGACCTTACAGGCAAGATCACGATGGAACTCTGGTAAAAGCAGAACTGCGTGGAGGAGGTTGGCTGGGGGGGCGGGGGAGGGGGGAGTTATTCTTCCCATTTGATAGATGGTATCCTGCGAGGCTGAGGGCTTGGTTAAGGTAACTCGGGAAGATGCAGGCCATGTGGTGACCCCACATCAAGTCCCAAAGACAAGGACTGCATGCATGTGTGCGCCCTTCCCTGGGCCTCTCCCACGCCCTTCACCCCAGGGTCTACCTGCACAACTGCAGTGTAGACAGGGATGCTGCTGGCATGGGGGGGTCCCAGCCTTCCTTCAGCCTTGGGAGGTCCCCATGGCCCTGGGGCTGGAGGAACAATAACGCTCCGGGATCTACTTCTTAGAATGGAGCCTACAAAAGTAATAATTATGGGTGGGAGCAAAGATTTAGTTCCAAGGATGCTTCCCCAAGGACAGAGGAGACGAAATACATTATGGATCATGCATATGTTTGCACCCATTTAAGTGACATTGTATAAGAATATGTAACAGTGTGGAAAGATGATCAGGCTGTATTTTTAGGTAAACAAAACAAAACAGTATGATTATTATGTTTTCAGTTTTGCAAAAATATTTCTTTATATATAGAAAAATGACTAGAAAGGGGCGCCTGGGTGGCTCAGTCGGTTAAGCGTCTGCACTCAGCCCAGGTTGTGACCCTAGAGTCCTGGGATCGAGCCCCGGGTCTGGCTCCCTGCTCAGTGGGGAGCCAGCTTCTCCCTCTCCCTCTGCTGCTTCCCCTGCTTGTGCTCTCACTCTCTCTCTGTCAGGTAAATAAATAAAATCTTTAAAAAGAAAAAAAAAAGAAAAATGACTAGAAAGATGTTACTACTTGAGGCTTGAAAATTAAGAATTTTCCTCTTGGTTTCCGGTAGCTTCCCCTCCCCCCTCGTTTTTAAGTGATAAAACGACAGGGTCTGCCCCCATACTATGTAAAAATATTCAAACAACAGAGAAGTAGTGGCTAGTCCCCATGTGGCCCTAATCCTCTCCTAAGGATAATTAAAATTTTTTTCTTCTTTTGCTTCTCCTTATTTTCCAAGTTATTCACAATGGACAGATACTGCTTTCGCAAAATGCAAGCGAAAACAAAATTTTACAAACAGCCAACAGCGCTCTGAGGTATGGTGAGCCTGGCGGAGCCCTGGAAGAGTCCTGCAGACAGAGCCTGAGGAGTCTCTGCTCTGGGGGAATTGGGTTCGTCTGTCCCTGTGATGTCCCGTAGCTGGTGAGAGGTCCCGAGTATCGTGTGGTGAACCCAAGAGGCCCGGGGAGGACACTGACTCCTTCCCTCCTCTGTGTCCACCAAAATGTTGAGAGATACCACCTGGTGTTGCAGAAAGATGATCAAGGAGCATGAATCCCAGTTCTACCTCTGCCTAGCTGTGTGGCCTTGGGCAAGTGACTTAACTCATCTGAGCCTCCAATTCCTTCTCTGACAATCGGGACGCTAACCCCTCCCAAACAGGGCTGGGTAGTCCCCAGGATTAAGTGGCTGACACGCAGAGGGGTTCAGTAAATGGTAGCTGCCCACGTCTGGAACCACGGAGCAGACGGGCCTCTGAGAGCAGCCTCTTGAGGTCCCTTCCCAGCTGCTTCCCCTTGGTGGTCTCGCAGTCCAACCCCCAGACTTCCATCAGGCCTGGGCATAAATCACCCCCCGTAAAATGCCTCTAGAGAGTGAGATGCTGTGCGCTTTTGGGTGACATGTTCGGGCAGCACTGAAGTTCTCCCCAGTGTATAGCCTCCTGCTGCGAGACCAGCATTACTGCCCTGGGGAAACCACCCTGACCGCAGCCACTTACATTTTGGCTTCATAGTCCTTCCACGCCTTCTCCAGCTGCTTTTTGGAATCCTGTGGTTTTAAAAAGAACAATTTGACCAAAGGGGCGCTTGGGGTCTGGAATCCACAGGCCATTTTGCTACCTTTAAGGTGACCCTGCACTTTCGTGCTCACCTATGCTGCTCCGAGCCATGCTCCAACTAACCCCGACACCCCCAGAGCACTTACTGTAAACCTCACTCCTGCCAATAGACCCAACTGGCCCCGTTCTCAGAGCTGAGACGCTTCACCCACCTAACCTCCTCCCATAGTTGCTGAGAATCAGCTGGGTTTGGTGGGCCTTGGCCTGAGGTGTGGGAAGATTTTTGGAGTCTGCCCTAAGTCCTCTCCCTCAGAAGATGGAGATCACCATAAGGATAAGGATGGGAAGATGAAGGTCAGACTCCTCCCCTAACTTTCTCCCACCCCTTCCTCCTGCCTGGTACTAGATCATGCTCTCAACAGGAAGAGTACCGGTAGAGGGACATATGCACAGAGAGGCTGAGAAGTCTACCCAAGGCCACACAGCAAGCCAGTGAGACCTGGCTGATCCTTGGCCTAGTTTGCCGAAGCCTCATCAGGCAGGGCTGCTCACACCCTTCAGAATTGCCCTAGTCAGCCGGGGGGGGAAGCTGCATGGCTGGTTTGGGTGGTTCCCAGGCTGGTGACCAGCCTCAGGCAAGAGGGAAGCCTCTGGGGGGAGGACAGCTTCTCCCCAGGGCCTTCTGGGGCAGATTTCTCAGGGAGATTATTCTGTCACTTTCTTTGAGTTTTGCTCTGCCTAGAGACTGGAGCTGCCAGGTGCAGAGAGGAGCCAAGCCTGGGAGTTAGGAGCCCCAGATCCCACCCTGGCTCCTCCACCAACCAGCTGTATGAACTGTGAGCAGGTTCCCAAACTCCCTGAACCTCGGGTTTCCTCCACTGCAGAACAGGGATGACAGTGCCCACGGAGCCCACCTCGTGGGCTTTCTCACAAAGGGCTCAGGCAGATAGTCGGTCAGCCATCTTAGGCTGACGCCAGAGCCAGGTCTTCCTATCCTGAGGGTCCCTAATATGGAGTCAGCACTCCCACTGTGACAGCCCCACTTGACCTCCGGCTTCAGCCCAGCCCTGCCTCCCCTCTGGTCTCCTGCTCACCACTCTCTCGGTCCCTCCCACCACCTTTGGGCATCCGCACCCCCCAAATGGGAACTCACCTGTCGTCCGTCCCTCAGTTGCCCCTTCAGTAGACTGTCCAGGGGGAATGAGACGATGTTGTTCAGGTTTTGAACCTGGAAAGAGCAGAGACCCCCCACACCCCACCCTGGGTGACCATCTGTCCAGCCCCAAGGGGCTAGGACACAGCATCGGGAGGCAACGGATGGCACTGGGGGGAGGGGGGGGAACAGAGGTGAGAGCGGAGGGTAGCAGGGGTGGTGGAGTCAGTCTCCCATAAGAGCTGTTCCCCCCCCCCCAACTAACCAGCCTCATCACCTCCGAGCTCTAGGGACATCCACGGTCAGTCCCATCTCTGGCCCTTTGCCTCGAGCACCCTCACCTGTCTCCTCAGACCCCGATTCTGAAGTGCCCATCTGTCATTTGTATCCGGCTAGCTCCCTGTCTCCCCCTACCATGTGGGGAACCCTTCGGTGGTAGGATGGGGTAAACACAGGAGTCAGAGCTGATCAGAGTACCCCATCCTCGGGCTGTAGCGATTGGATCAGGCACGTGATTCAAGCCAGCCAATCAGGATCCTTCCTGGAACTTTCGGCCAAAGTCATGGGAGAAAGACTGTCTTTCTTCTGGCAATATTGTGAATCTGGGTCTGCTGGGCCATCTTGCCCACCGAGCAGACACAGAGAGAAACTATCTACGAGAAAGAGAAGAAGCCTAAAGCCAGTTGCATACCTGGATTTCCCATGACAAGGGCCAATGCATTCCTTGTTTAAAAAATCCTAGTTTGAAAAAAAAAAAATCCTATTTTGAATTGAGTCTCTATCATTTGGCAGCCCCAACTGCCTGTCTGATATTCCAGCTCACCTTTCAAGGTACAGCTTGGGTCTCCCCTACTCTAGGAAGCCTTCCTGACTGCTCCTACCCATGAACTATGCTGATCTTCCCTTGTCATTTTTTTTTTTTTAGATTTTATTTATTTATTTAAGAGAGAGAGCGCGTGTGTGCGCACAAGTGGGGGGAGGGGCAGAGGGATGCTGAGCGTGGAGCCTGACTCGGGGCTCGATCCCAGAACTCCGAGATCATGACCTGAGTCGAAGTCAGACACTCAACGGACTGAGCCACCCAGGCGCCCCATGATGCTCCCTTTTCTGAACTTTGGCAGCACCAGGCCTCTGACCCAACTTGCTGGGTTCTTGAGTTTGTGCCACACTGCTGGTCATGTTTGGTGTCGTCCCACATCTCAGTTCCTGCCTCGCCCACTAGACTGTGGCTCTCTAAGGCACAGCCTGACTCTTCCCTGTGTCACCAGCCCCCAGTACAATGCCCAGGACAGAGTAGCCCCTCAGCAAACCCTAGTTTGACCGTTACAGGGGGAGGAGAGATAAAGACAAAAGCAATCACTAATTCAGTTGAACTCAAACACTAAAGACCTACACAGAGGACAGTGCGAGAGGCGGGGCTATGCAAAGAGATATAATAATGACAGATGCAATAGTAGCAAACACTTCCTGAGCGCTTACTCCGGCGTAGGCACTTAACTTGCGTAAGCCTCATTACAGCTCTGTGAGGTGGGTAACATTATTAGCCCAATTTTAGAGATGGGACCCAGGCAGATTGAGTGACTTGCCCAGAATCACACACCTAGAGAGCAGCAGAGCAGGGATTCAAGGTCTGCGTCTAAGTCCGAGGTCCGGGTGCTCAACCACCAAGCAAACTGCCTGGCAGAGGTGATGCAGCCAGGGACTGGGCAAGGGAGGGACTGGAGCCATGAAAGCCAGTCCACAAGCCATGGAGCCTGGAGAGAGCTGGGCTTTCCCGAGGGGCTCCAGCCAGGCTTGTGTTCAGATGCTGGAGCTAGACATCCTGGGTTCAAATCCAGCGATATGAGCTCGGGCAAGTTGCTTGACCTCATGCCCTAGTTTCCTAGCCCGTAAAGTGCGGACAATAGTAAAACCAAACCCACAAAGCTATGCTCCAGGATTCGGTGGGTTAACCCACGTGAGGTACCAAGAACTGTGCCCGTTTGTGGGAAGAGCTTGTATCTCAGGAAAAAAACCTCAGGCAAGAACCTAGGACACTGGGCAGGTGCAGGAGCTAAGACGCTTGCTGAGGGGAGGTAGGTTCCAGGCTCTGAGGACACGGCAGATGCAGTTGGGAAAGCAGAGGACCAGGAGGGGTCAGGGGAGGTGGTGGCATGAAGACAGGAACCCCAGAGTCGGCCTTCCCTTCTCCCAAACGCCCTCCAGGGAGCCCTCTCTTTGTGGGGCTCTTCCCCTCTGTGAGCCTCCCTCTGCTGCTGGGTACTCACCAATGAAGAGAAAGAGGAGGGCAGAGCTGGAGGGAGAGCAGGAGAGAGAAGATGTGGGGGTGGGGAGTCAGAGAAGAAGAAGAATGCAAATGGGAGGTCGGAACTGGAAAGGGATCTGGGTCGTTGGTCAAGGTCAAGGGAGACTAGAGGTCCAGGGCAACCCCGGACAGTCAGGTTCTTAAGCTCACTTGATTTACCCTGAGCCTAGGCTAAGGGCTGCCTGAGAAAGGAACAGGGCCTCACCAGGTTCTTGAAAAGTGCAGCCACCTCGCGGGTGAACACGGCCAAGTTCAGGAAGCCAGTGGACAGCTCGTGACTGTTTTGGGACAAGTGACTGTTGCCTAAGGACTCTACAGCCTCTCGGTACTGCTCCTCATTCTCCACGTGGCCTGTGGAGGTAGGAAAAGGCAGAGTCAGTTCCTCGCTGGGGCTGGAGAAGGGGTTGCTTGGCCAGGCTGGGCATCAAGCAGGCTCACTCACCAAGTCCGGAGCTGTGGATCGCCCGCACAGCCTTCTTTATTCTCTGCAAGATGGCCTGGTCTCCTTCCAGGATCTGGAAGCAAATGCAGACAGAGTTCAGGGATGCTCAGCTGGGAGGGGTGCCTGACTCCATGATCCCACCCTTTAGACACACATATAAAGTTTCTTCCCCCAAACATGAACAGACCACCCTCTTCCACCCAGACCACATAGGACACCATAGATCAGTCATACCACTCCAGGAAGACCTACAGACTTTTCTCCCCACCTCCAATGCAGGCCAAGTAAATGTAGCGATTCCGAGGCATGTGGTGTAGTGGGGAATGCCAGACCTGGGTTTGAAGCCTGACTCTGGCACTAGTGTGTCGATCTAGACAGATCTGTTAACTTCTCTGAGCCTTGGGTCCGTTATTTGCAAAATGGAGATGATACTATGGGCCCCTGGAGGTGCAGAGAGAAGTAGTGATCTGACAAATATATGCAAAAGTGCTTAGCAAAAGACCAGAGAGAACGCGGACATCTCTGTATTCTCAAAGACATATCTCAAAGATGGAAGAATGGTTGTTCACCAAATCCGGGGCTCAATAAGCCAAAGGGGCCACACTCAACCCCGACTGGAAAGAACTGGGGGGGCAGCATCAAGCAACCTCTGTGGATTGCAGAACAGACAGCAGGTGGTGGGGGAGGCCAGGAGATGTGATGGGGAGAAGCAGGCCTCACGGGGCCGGGGGGGGGGCGGCGGGGGGGCTCAGCCGGGGATCAAAATCTCCGCTTTCAGTGGGGTGCAGAAGCTCCAACCTCATGGACCCCTTAAGGAATGCTTAGTGAAGCTGGAAATTATAGAACGTTAGGGCTGAGAAAGGCTGACAGAGCCCCCGATGAGGAGACTGAGGCCTAGAGAGAGCAGGGCCTGGCCCAGAGCCGCTGCTGCAGCCACACACCCATCCCCCTGCCACAGCCCCACCTATTTTGTCCGGTGACTAAAAAGGGATCAGAGTTTATCTCCAAAGAGTTACCTTCAACGTGACAGGAGTTAGCAAACACATTCGGAAAGGATACGCACAGGAGCGCACGCACCGGGCAGACCTCGGGGGCAATGTGGAGTGTTCTCCAAAGCCTCGGGCAGGTGGGAAGCCTCAGGAGGGAGAGGGGTCTGGTTTTGAAGCTCAGCTCCAGCGCCCAGATGCTGTGTGACCCCCCCAGCAAGTTGCTTCCTGATTAGCTATCTGTACAATGGGCGGAAATAATGCCTCCCTCTCAGGGCTGTTATGAGGATTATATGTATGAGACGATGCACATAAAGGGCTTCGCCTGGTGCTAAGCCCAGAGTGTGTCCTCAAATAACAGTACACGTGATCATCATCAGCACCCGCTGCTGCTGCTAGAAGGGGCCATCAAATTCTGAGTCCCGTTCCTACAGGGACTAGAAAGCTAACATTCTCCTCCCTGAGTACAAATTTCTTGTTTGGGACATGGAGGCCCATCCCAGGGCTGAAGAAAAAAAGTCAAGGAATTAGGGAGATGGCGGGGGAGAGGAGGCCATATCTAAGTGAGCTAAAGAACTCAGACACTCTACCGGAGAAACAAAGACAAGGGGGAGAACTAGGGCATCACTATAGTTCCCAAAGAGCCAGACGAGGAAACATGCATTTATCAAAGCCCATGATCCTCACCTTGAGACTTGAAAGGGAAAGCTAAGACATGATTAATTTAAGGAGCTCTGACTTCACTCCAATAGACAGTGCAGATCACAGATATGAAGGAATTCCAAAGAGACCTAGAAAACTCCGAGAAGGGGGCTCCTGGGTGGCTCAGTGAGTTAAGCCTCTGACTCTTGATTTCAGCTCAGGTCATGCATGATCTCGGGGTCCTGGGATCGAGCCCTGAGTCGGGCTCCATGCTCAGCGCGGGGAGTCTGCTTCTCTTTCTCCCTCTGCCCCTCCCCACCCCGTGCACTCTCTCTCAAATAAATAAATAAAAATAAAAATTTTTTAAAGATTTTATTTATTTATTTGACAGAGAGAGACACAGTGAGAGAGGGAACACAAGCAGGCGGAGTGGGAGAGGGAGAAGCAGGCTTCCCGCGGAGCAGGGAGCCCGATGCGGGGCTCAATCCCAGGACCCTGGGACCATGACCTGAGCTGATGGCAGAGGCTTAACAACTGAGCCACCCAGGCGCCCCCAAAATAAAATCTTTTTTAAAAAGAGAAAGCTCCCTAGAAGGCAGATCCATGTGCCTAACATACAGAAAATACCCAATACTTGTTTACCTAAATGAAGGACGTTTTGCAAAGTCCTGGGACATGGACCTGAGAAGTCTATGTTCATGCTCTAGATACTTTTCGGGGAGTCTCCCCACCCCACGTAACCTACTCTTGGAAAAGTGCCCTCCTTCCCTCCCCTAAAGGACCCACCTAATCTAGAGGTGGGTCCTTTATTACCCTGTTTGTTCTAGCCAGAGTTGACTGGACCAGGATGGACACCTGAGCCAGGCTGGCCCAAACAGCTTCTCTCTCCAAGAAATTTGGAATTGGGCTCTGAAGTTGGCTAACTGATCTGAAGTACTTAAGCTGGGACCTCTTTCCCACCATGCGCAAAGAGAAAAGAACAAAGCAGATGTATAGAAAGAAGCAAATGAGACCCATGCTGCCCCTGAAAAGCAGAAGAAAAAGGCGGCTCTGGTTTCTGGCAAATCTCCAGATCCCACACCCTGAGAGGCTCCTCCACACTTCCTGTCCTTGGGTCTTCGTGAAATATCCCTGAATGCACCCAACAAATTCCCCTTCGTGCTTAAGCTGGTTTGAGAGGATCTCTCTTCCCTGCAGTGTGGCAGAGACTGCTGGTTGGCTCCCAGTGTCCATTCTCTCTTCTTTCTTAGTAATAAGAACCCTGACTTTTCAGATGGCCACTCGGTCATTCACAGTACAGGCTACAATTCCCAGTTTACCTTGCAGCTGAATGTAGTCATATGACTAAGTGCTGACCTATGTCATATAATGGATATTTCATTTGTTAGCTTCCAGAAGTATTCTTAAAGGGAAGGGAGAGACTACACACCCATTAAAATGGCCAAAATCCAAAACACTGACAACACCAAATGCTGAGGAGGATGTGGAGCAACATGCACTCTCATGCGCTGCTAGTGGGAATGCAAAATGGTACAGCCACTTTGCTAGACAGCTTGGCAGTTTGTTACAAAACTAAACATACTCTTACCATATGATCCAGCAACTGCACTCCTCGGTATTTACCCAAATGAACTGAAAACCTATTCCCACATGAAAACGTGCACATGGATGTTTAGAGCAGCTTTATTCATAACAGCTAAAACTTGGAAGACAATGGAATATTATTTAGCACTAAAAAGAAGTGAGCTATCGAGTCACAAAATACATGAAGGAACCTTAAATGTGTATTTATGAGGGGCACCTCGCTGGCTCAGCTGGTGGAATATGTGACTCTTGATCTTGGGGTTGTGAGTTCGAGCCCCACGCTGGGTATAGAGGTTACTTAAAAATAAAATCTTTCAAAAAATGGATATTACTGTGTGAAAGAAGCAACCTGAAAAGGTTGTGTCTGATTCCAATTATGTGACATTCTGGAATAGGCTAAAGAATGGACATAATAAAAAAGATTAGTGGTAGCCAGTGGGGGGAGGGATAAACAGGTGGAATATGAAGGATTTTTAGAGCCGTCAAACTATTCTGCATGATACTGACAGTGGACACGTGTCACTATGCACTGGTCAAAACTCGTAACATGTACAACACCAAGATTGAACCCTAACGTAACTGTGGATCTGGGGTCATAAGGACGTGTCGGTGTAGGTTCACTGATTCTAACAAATGTACCACTCTGATGTGGGACAGTGATAATGAGGGAGGTTGTTTGTGGAGTGGGAGGTATGTGGGAACTCTGTACTTTTTTTTTTTTTTAAGATTTTATTTACTTGAGAGAGAGAGTGAGAGAGAGAGAGCGCGCATGAGACGGGGGGAGGGAGAGGGAGAAGCAGACTCCCCACTGAGCAGGGAGCCCCACATGGGGCTCGATCCCAGGACCCTGGGATCATGGCCTGAGCCGAAGGCAGACACTTAACTGACTGAGCCACCAGGCGTCCCTCTCTGTACTTTCTACTCAATTTTGTTGTGCACTTAACAGTGCTCTAAAAAATGTGTTTTTAAACAAAGGGGAGAGGCGCCTGGGCGGCCCAGTCTGTTAAGTGACTGACTCTTGATTTCTGCTCAGTTCATGATCTCAGGGTCGTGAGATCGAGTCCCATGTTGGGTTCCATGCTGAGTGTGGAGCCTGCTTGATATTCTCTCCCTCTCCCTCCGCTCCTCCCTTCAACCGCAGGCTCTCTCTCTCTCCCTCTCCTCTTTCTCCGAAAAAAAAAAAAAAAAGATAAAGGGGTTAAAAGAAAAGGAAGAAAGGAAAGGGTACCCTCTGTCATACCTTTCTCCTGGCTAGAATGCATTTGTGATGTCTAGAGCTCAGGCAGCCATCTTGGACCATGAGGTAGAAGCTACATATTGTGGATGGTGGAGAAACAAAGTAGTAGCTTTGTCCCTGGTGACTGGGGAGCCACCCTATCAGCCCTGGACCACTTATCTGCAGACTTCTTTTATATGGAAGAGAAATAAATGTCTATCTTCTATGAGCCACGTGATGCTGGGTACACTGTTACTTGTGACTGAAGCTAGCTCTAGCTGGCACACGCAGGCAGGTCACCCAATGACCAACAAACTATCACTCAATGCCCTTGTCAGACATATATCAGGAAATGGCTTCCTGGCAAGATACCATTCCTGCCCCTACCAAAGTTCACACAGCTATTCATTCATTCATTCATTCATTCATTCATTCAACTAGTTATTGAGTGCCTGCTATGCATTTGCACTCTGTGTAAAAGCCAGTCTCAGCCCTCCAGGGATATCACTATCTAAGGAGAGAAAGAGCCAAGTAAATTGATCCCTGCAATGTGATTTGGGCTATAATGGAGGGTGGACAAGGCAGCCGTGAGCCCAGGGGAAGCGGAACCGCGTCTGCTTAGGAGGAACAGGGAAAGCTGTAAGT